CAATAAATATGAGATGCCCTCTCAAAAAAAAAAAAAAGAATATCCTTTAAGACTGCCACTGCCATGGAGATGGATTCACCATCACAGTTGCCTTTGTCCCCGGAATTGAGCTCCTCCTTTATGGATCTGCAGGATTCTTTACTGGTCACTGTCCTGAAGATGTCTTTGGTGAGCGGCCATTTTTGATTAATAAAATCAAGCAGATCCAGGATGGGCTTGAGCAGCCTGTCATTGTCACACACGTCCGTGAGAGAAATGCCAGAGGGCTGTCCTGGCTTTGCAGCTGGTGGGGCTGGGCACAGGTAGTCCAGACAAGTACCCGAGCCCTGCCAGCAGGCCAGGTGTGTGTCGGCAATCTTTCTCTCTTCCAGCGGAGTGTCTCCCTTGTTGGTTCCTGGCCAGGTGCCTCGGCCTCAGGATGAAAGAAGAGGCAGAATCCTCTAGTCCCTGGGGCAGGAAAGTAGTAGCTGGAAGATGGCTCATTTTAATTCCATAGGGATGTTCATGCCCAATGAGTAGATATGGGGTCTTTTCCTTGTCAGAACTGACCCACAGCTGGTAATCTTTCTTAGAGCCAGTTATTCCTGGCACTGGTAGTGACATGTTGATTACGTCATTCACTGTGTCTGAATTTGTTACTGTTATAGGTATAGAACAAGCACAGTTCTTGATGTCCCCAGTGCAGATGTTGAGGGGAATGTTTTTGGGCTGGTCCTTCTCTTTGGATAGATTGATGCATCTTTGAAGGAAAGAGCACCATTTTTTCCTTTAGTTCTGGAGATCTACAGGTGGCCACAAAGTTCACCGTGGGCCAGCCCAAGACAAAGGACCTCTGGGCACCGATGTTGTCTCTCTCCATAGAGTCAGCAGTCCACACTGTGTTCAGTGGTACTTATTTTTTTTTCTTGTAGATTTTTTCATACTCTGATCAAATATTTAGGTAGCATTGAGTCAACTACTTCTTCCATTTCAGTTGATTTCAAAGTTCAAAGAGTTTCCAGCAGAAGCCTGCGGGTGAGTTGGTGTCAGACACCAGCAACAAATCGCTGTAGAATAAGAGGTGCTGCTGCTGTCCCCTGCCGCCTCTTCTGAGTTCTACGTGGCCGTGAAGCAGCAGAGTTCGATGGGTGCCCTCAGATGATGTAGTACCTTCGCTGTGGGTGTCCACCTCAACAGAAGTGCTTTCCCTTTTGCAACAACACGGATGGAGCTACAGGGTTATTATGCTCCGTGAAATAAGCCAGGTGGAGAAAGACAAGCATCAAATGGTTTCACTCATCTTTTAGTTGTTCCACCACATTAAGTATTTTATGAGCTCAGGATCAGTAGTTACAAGCATAAGGCCATATTTCTATGGTCTAGTGAAGTTTTCAGATGGATATGCTGGGCTGATGCCAAATGCTGTGGATTCCAAATGCTGGGGGTAAGGTAGTGATACTGGGGTTCTTGTTCACAAAGGTAAAGAATGAACTTTGCAAATGGTCAAGGTAGGCATGCAAGGTAGAGGTTTTTATTTAGAGAGAAAGCAAGAGGACAGCACTCCTGGCTCAGGCTAGGAGGGGACAATAGAGCCCCGGGGTGAGGCGTGTCTAGGGGATCTATTTAACCAGAATGACAATAGATTTTAAAGACAAATACAGAAGGCTACACAGTTAGCAAAATTTAACTTTTAGTCCTTTTAATACCAAGATCATATTTTCTTAAATACTCTGACAACTCACTGAGACTTTAAGCATGAGAAACTGCTTTGATAAAAACAATTAGAAAGCTCTTTGCAATCTTTCAACATTAAGAGCAGGCTAACAGTTTAAGAAAACTTTGTCCTTTTAACTGAGAACAAAATTATAATTTTGCTGTGTATTTGATATCGAGACTCATTTACTTTAATTTCACATTGGCATGACTGTATCAATTCTTCCACAAACTTTCTACAACTTTTTTTTTTTTTACGCCACTGGTTTTATTTCACGTCTAGATCCTCACACATTCTACCAACACTCTCTGCTTTCAGTTCATTGATGAGTTAAGGAAGGGTTGAAAGGAAAAGAAACTGTGGTTTGCCTGTCTTGTCTTCCCCTCTCTTGTTGTTTTCAGCACATTGGCTATAGCAGGGAGGCGGCATGAGCAGGAAAGGATATGAGGGAGTTCTTGAGTCGTTCTTACTGTTTAGGGGGCGTTGTCTTCTTTCTGCATCTGAGATGATTTCTGATTTGAATGGAAAGCATGGCTTCTTGGGGCTGCTAGTGCCCCTACAAACTCAGATGTAGACATAGCACAGTTCCTTATACTCACATTGAGGCTTGCTGAACACCCAGCCCTCATGGGGCCTTGGAACTCTGCTTGTGGGTTTCACGAATGCTACCTGCACACCAGGCAGCGATAAACATGTGTACTGCATGTATCTCCTCTGCTCACATCCATGCCTGCTTGTCTATCAGAATATTTTTAAGACTTAACCTTTTAGGTTCGCAGCAAAGTTGGTACAGAGAAGATGGTACAGAGATTCCCCGTATCCCTCCTGCCCCCACACATGCATGACCTCCCCCTCAACATTACCCATCAGAGTGGGACATTAGTTACAGTCGAGGAGCTTACACTGACATCACCATCACCCAAAGTCCAGAGCTTACAGCTGATGTCATTATACATTCTATGGGTTTGAGCAAGTGTATAAAGACATGTATCTGCCATCCTACAAACTAATGTTACTGTCCTAAAGATCCTCTGGTCCACCTTTTCATTGCTCCTTCCTCTCTAACCCCTGAAAACCAGTCATCTTTTTTACTGGATCCATAGTTTACCTTTTCTAGAATGTCATGTGGTTGGAATCATACTGTAGGTAGCCTTTTCAGATGGGCTTCTTTCACTCAGGCATTCACATTCAGGCGTCTTCCATGTCTTTGCATTGCTTGAGAGCTTGTTTCTTTTTAGCACTGAGTAATACTCTATTGTCTGGATTTATGAGCTTATTTATCCATCATTTACTGAAGGGCGTCTTAGTTGCTTCCAAGTCTTGGCAGTTATGAATAAAGCTGCTATAAACATTTGTGTCCAGGTGTTTGCGTGGACATAGGTTTTCAAGTCTACCACTTTCTTTTACATTCAGAGTTCTCCCTGTTTAAATAAACAGCTGTACTTTAGAAGTTACCATCTTTTACCCTCAACAAATCCAATTTCCATTCCTTATACCTTCTGGTATTAAACACACATCTTTTCTAGCAAGCGCAGATGTTTTCTTTATTACTTAAGTAGTTTTATTTAGAATTTAAAACCATTAGGAACCTTAATTTTCAGTGAACACTGAGAAGTGGGCTATTGTAAACTATTACACTAGCATTCTTTAGATTAACAAATTTGTGAACACATTTCATAATTTCTAAAACTGTGTGCTTTACAGCACAACCTCTAAGCATAAAATATGTCTACTTAATTTAACAAAACTTTTAGGTTTTAGGTTACCACAAAGATTCTCAGGCAGTTTGTATGTACACACACTAACACACAATTATGTTTACTCTTAACTATGCTAGATTACTCACAAAACTTTTACTAAACATTACACAGAGTCAAGCCTAAGTATTTTTTCTTTAAAGATTTAACAGATAACATCAACTTAAATGACTTTAGGTAAACAGGCAGCTGATAACCCTAAGGACATGTCCATTTCAGTTCAACTTAAATTAGCAGTAATGCTCAATATTTTTTATAAAAATTTTCTGTAAGTTTTAGAATGCTCAATTTTCACAAGCACTTGTCTTTAAATCAATTTTTATTAATACCTTCCAGAGGTATAAAAATTTTTCATTTACACACTTAGACACACATACAGATTGAGACGTAATGACTACAGTTAGCAACACTTTTCATAAAAACATATACAAAGACAAACTGATACAAAGATTCGAGTTACTAATATCTAATTGCCTTCTTTCTTTTTAGCTTATTTGATTAAAAGTATCTCAGTTTTCAAGAATACACTCTAAGGGTGAGCAGTTTATATAACTGGGTTAACGTTTAGATGGCCCCAGCCTAACAGGGCTAATGAAGGTTCTGAACTGATAGGGACTGTGTGTGGCCAGGGGGCTGGAAATGAAATGCAAGTGCAACTCTAGCACCAGTTATTTAAAGCCAGGCTGTATTGCAGAAGGTATATTTTGTCTCAGGGAGTCTGGTTTAAAAAACCTCCCAAATTTTGAGGATAATGATGAACCCAATATAGAATAGATTTTTACTTAAAAAATTCAGAAAATTGGCCAGAGAACCAAGATGGTGGCATGAGTAGAGCAGTGGAAATCTCCTCCCAAAACCATATATATTCTTGAAAATATAACAAATACAACTAATCCTGAAAGAGAGACAAGAAGACACAGGACAACAGCTAGACTACATCCACACCCACAAGAACCCTGTGCCTCATGAAGGGGGTAAGATAAAAGCCATGGCCCAGCAGAACCTGAGCGCCCCTCACACCAGCTCCCAGTGGGAGGAGAGGAGTCAGAGTGGGGAGGGAGAGGGAGCCCAGGATTGCTGAACACCCAGCCCTAGCCATCTGCACCAGAGCGCAGACACACAGTGCGTGCATGGGGTGCTGGAAACTAGGGAAACAGGACAGTAAGACCTGTGAGTGGGTCCCTGCAGCCAGCACCCCTGGGACAAAGAAAAGCGAGTGCTTTTTGAAAGTCTTAAAGGGACAGGGACCCCACAGCTGGACGGAAGTGCCCCAGGACACTTAGCCTAGCAGCTGGGAATCCCGGGGAATTCTGGGCACCCGAACCCCTGCAGCACAGCTCGGAGGCCCCTCACCATGATAAACAGCCTCCTGCCTGTTCCCCCTCAATGCAGCTCCACCATATTGGAGAAGCAGCCTGAGGCAGGCCACGCTCACAGCAACTGCAGAGCTAAATAAACTCCATAGAGGCTGGGCAAGATCAGAAGCCCCATCTGCAGGCAGCTGCCCAGCACAAGCCGTTAGAGGCCGCTGTTCTCCCAGGAGAGGAAGGCCACAAACTGGCAAGAAGGGACTTTCTCTTACCCAACACACGTGCCAGCTCCCCACAAATATATCTATTGCCATGAAAAGGCAGAAGAGATTGATACAGACCAAGATCACAGAGGCAAACCCTGAGAAGGAGATAGACCTAATCAGTCTTCCTGAAAAAGAATTAAAAATAAAGCTCATAACCATGCTGATGGAGCTGCAGAGAAATATGCAAGAGCTAAGGGATGAAGTCCCGAAGGAGATTACAGAAATGAAACAATCTCTGGAAGGATTTATAAACAGAATGGATAAGATGCAAGAGGCCATTCATGGAATAGAAACCAGAGAACAGGAACACATAGAAGCTGACACAGAGAGAGATAAAAGGATCTCCAGGAATGAAACAATGTTAAGAGAATTGTGTGACCAATCCAAAAGGAAAAATATCTGCATTATAGGGGTACCAGAAGAAGAAGAGAGAGAAAAATGGATAGAAAGTGTTTTTGAAAAAATAATTGCTGAAAACTTCCCGAAACTGAGGGAGGAAATAATCAGACCATGGAAGTACACAGAACTCCCAACAGAAGGGACCCAAGGAGGACAACACCAAGACACATAATAATTAAAATGGCAAAGATCAAGGACAAGGACAGAGTATGAAAGGCAGCCAGAGAGAGAAAAAAAGGTCTACATAGGAAAACCCATCAGGCTATCATCAGACTTCTCAACAGAAACCTTACAGGCCAGAAGAGACTGGCATGATATATTTAATGCAATGAAACAGAAGGGCCTTGAACCAAGAATACTGTATCCAGCACGATTATCATTTAAATATGAAGGAGGGATTAAACAATTCCCAGACAAGCAAAAGTTGAGGGAATTTGCCTCCCACAAACCACCTCTACAGGGTATTTTAGAGGGACTGCTCTAGATGGGAGCACTCCTAAGGCTAAATAGATGTCACCAGAGAAAATAAAATCACAGCAAAGAAAGCAGACCAACCAAATACTAACTAAAGGCAAAAAATAAAATCAACTACCCACAAAAGCAGTTAAAGGAAGCACAAAAGAGCACAGAATAAAACAACCAACATATAAAGAATGGAGGAGGAGGAATAAGAAGGGAGAAAAATAAAGAATGACCAGACAGTGTTTAAAATAGCTCAATAAGTGAGTTGAGTTAGAAAGTAAGATACTGAAGAAGCTAACCTTGAACCTTTGGCAACCATGAATCTAAAGCCTGCAATGGCAATAAGTACATATCTTTCAATAATCACCCTAAATGTAAATGGACTGAATGCACCAATCAAAAGACACAGAATAATAGAATGGATAAAAAAGCAAGACCCATCTTTATACTGCTTACAAGAGACTCACCTCAAACCCAAAGACTATAGGAACAAAGAAAGACTGAAGGAACAAAACAGCAGCAGAATCATAGAACCTAAGAATGGACTAACAGTTACCAAAGGGAAAGGGACTGGGGAGAAAGGGAGGGAAGGGAGGGATAAGGATGGGGAAAAAGAAAGGGGACATTACGATTAGCATGTATAATGTGGGGGGTGAACATGGGGAGGGCTGTGCAACACAGAGAAGACAAGTGATTCTACAGCATCTTACTATGCTGATGGACAGTACTATAATGGGGTTTGTGGGGGGGGATTTGGTGAAGGGGGGACCCTAGTAAACATAATATTGTTCATGTAATTGTAGATTAATGACAACAAAATTAATTAATTAATTTAAAAAAATTTTTAAAAATTTCAGAAAATTAGTCCCACATTGTAGTAGTTCACGGGACTTTTGACTATTTTCCTTTCTTGTGAAAAATATATTTAGCTGCATGACCTTCTTATATTGCATACTTTTTTTCAGGGGCCAAGCCTCTCTAATCAGAGTTTGTATTGAGGCCAGGCTTGTGTGCACAGGATACGACACTTTTTCAGGGTCTGGGGATCAAATTTCTCCCAGTTCTTCAGAATGCATGCCAGAGGCGTGTCTGGCTTTAACCTTGAAGAGGAAGCTTCCATCCGGAAGAGAGAGAAAGACAGGTGTGCAACACCTGGTCGGCCTTTCTCTGTGAGGGCGTACCCTCACTTTGGAGTCTAGGTGATAGTGGTGTGGAGCAGTCGGGGTTCCTATGGCCAGGATCCTCACTGAACTTAAACCACCTGAAGATATAACTGGCCTGTTGCTAGGCTACTGCTTACACACCTTTAGGCAATAAGCTATTATTGTGCTACATAGAGAGCTTGGCCCAGTGCTCTGGGAGGAGGCAGAGACACTAGCGCTCCATCTACTGCCAGGAGAACAAGATGGGTAATAAACCCTTTTACCCCAAAAAAGGTTTTGCTGTCAATTTCTTTGGTCACATTGAATCCACAGTGAACTTGCCTGGGGCCGAAACCCAGTGGCAAGACA